AATAAACCACTTGTATTTATTATTTAGTAGTATGAGCATGGCATGGCAGTACCACACAGACAGATAATGGCAGGCCCCCTGAGAAAAAGTTGTTAGCTACGGGGCTGGTCTAGGCCCTTTGACTCTACATAGAAAGGCTCTTTATTGTTGCACTACTAAAACAATCTTCATCCCACAGAAGTCTAGCACAAAATTTCCATTGACTTTAATTGACTGAAATTGGTGTCTTGATTTGCTTAGAGCCAGTTTGGTATAGTATTTAAGGGCAGCAGACTCTAATATGGAGAACTGCGTTTGATTCCCAATTCCTCCACATGAGGCCAGCTGGGTGAAGTTGGGTCACTCAGTTCTCTCAGAGCTTTCTCAGAAGCCAGCTGGGTGACCCTGGGTCAGTCACAGTTCTCTTAGAGCTCTCTCAGCCCCACCTACTTCACAGGGTATCTGTCATGGGGAGAGGAAGGGAAGGTGATTGTAAGACACTCTGAGACTCCTTTGGGTACAGAAAATCAGGGTATAAAAACCAATTCTTCTTCTTCTGCTGCTGCTGCTGCTATAAAATTGTTGTCAGTCCTATTTTTCCCCATCTTTGTTCCAAAGAGACATTTTTGTGTGCACTGATACGTTTCTACCACTCTCATAACTAGGGTTGCCAAGTCCGGACTTACCTGCCGGCGGGGGACTTTGGCTTTGCTCCCGGCGCGCCACATGCACGTCACAGGGAAGTGATGTCATTACAACGTCATTACTCTATGTTTTTCCCTCAAATGGCTGTGCCCCGCCCCCAGCGTGCCCGGCGTAATGACATCACTTCCCTGTAATGTGCACGCGGGGGTGGGGTTTCCCGCGGGGGCAGAAATCGGGCCTCCAAAGCGGGGGAAATCCGCCCCCTGGGGGGATTTGGCAGCCCTACTCATAACAACTGTTAATAATTCCAGCAGTCACATACATATCTTGGTCACATATGGATTTCTATCATCTCTGGTAGTGGCCATGGGGTATTTCTTCATTTCACCCTTAGTTGTTAGTATGATGTGAGCACTAATGAAAATGGTTATGGTTGACAAGCCATACACAATACTGCAAATGAAATACAGATTACAATAATGGAGGAAGAGATATCTTCAAATCAAGAGGTGCGCATTCCTTTCTTCTGAGCAGCATATTGTAAAATTCCATTTTGTATTTCCTTGTCTTGCTGCATAACTGTGGGCCTACTCCTTTATAACAGAAGATTTCGAGAGCAATCCTAAGTAGCTCTGCTCAGAATTCTACTCAAGTCTTTTCAGTGGCTCTTACTCCCAGGAATGTATTTTTAGGATTGCATGGTTAGATGTGTTTTCTGTACAGTAGCACCTAAGGCTGGATCTTTCAAGTCTGATCTACGGAGGTGTGTGGATATGGGTGAACGGCTATCAAGATCAAAATGGCAGCTGGATCATACTAGAAGACATGACTCCATGCAGTACAGACTACTGTTTTGACGGACTGCATGATGACACCTGTATATTCCTAGTGAATAGTGCCTTGTTGCCTGACTGCATCTATACAATTTATTGGATTGATTGCAGCAAACAGCAGATATACTGCAATCTGGCCTGAAAATGTAAAAGTATGAGCCATGATTTAAAACCATTTGAGTGATAAAATATGATTTTGTATTAATACAAATTCCATGATTCACAGTGCCTCCTAACCAGAGTTACAACCTCCTAGATCAATTGAAGCCAATGGTTTTAGAAGGCTGTAACCAGTGTTCCCTCTAAGCTGAGTCAGTGTGAGCTACCTCACAGGTTTTTAGCCTCTGGCTCACACATTTTTTGTCTTAGCTCAGAAAGGATGGCTCCAAGCAAACTAATTTATGCAGTAGCCAAATTGCTCACTCACAACTTTAATGCCAGTAGCTCACAAAGTAGAATTTTTGCTCACAAGACTCCACAGCTTAGAGGGAACACTGGCTATAACTCTTCTTAGGATGGTAATGTCAGTGAAAGGCACAGTGGGTTATTTACATGGGCAAAGTTTTGACTTCTGCAGAGCTGTCTAAAATTTAAGAGAATCAAGCAGAGATAGAGTTGGAAGGGGGACGGTGGCCCTGGAGGAAGGGCTGTAAATCCTACGAACTTTATGTGAACCGTCAGTTAGTTTGGGTTCTTCACATCACCTCAACCTAATTTGATCTGTTGATTTTATAAAGATAATCCCAGCTCATCATATTTCCAGAGTGTGTGTGATATATACACAGCTAAAACAACACTGTAGGCAAGGCTGTCTTAAGAAGTAAGCTACATGAATTGCAAGATCATGCAGTGCACTCTTGCTAGGCTAAATTGGCTCAGACTGCGGATGTGAGACGGTACATTTGAATATTCCCTTGTATTCACTAGGGCTCCTAGCTGGTTAAAGAATTAAAATTAATTGTATACATTTGAAATGATCAAGCAAATTTGCTACTTAGTAAAAGTGAGGCTTCTGAACAACAACAAAAAACATACATTCTGTTATCAGAAGTGCAGCAAACATCGTCTGAGTGATCAATATCTAATGATCAACATGGCCCCATCTGTGGCTACATCTGGAGAGTGGGCACATGGACAGACAAGGCAGATGTTTCCACGAACCTGAAAAAAGCCCCAGGTTTGTAGAAAAATTTGAACTCTAAAAACAAACAAACAAACAAATAAAATCTGCTGTCGCTTTAAGAAACAAATGCCATCACTGGCAGTTGCTTGGCAACCACAACAGTATTGTCAGTATTCCAGCCTTGATTTTGGTCAGCAAAATGCAGGGGCATGGGCCGGGCCCTTTCCAGGGCTGTTTTGGCCTTTAAGGGAGGACTCATGGGCAACCTCAGGGCAACTTGCTGCCACCTGACCTGCATGACCCACCCAGGCCTGGCTGCTTGATACTGTTCAACAGCAGCCACCACATGAAAGCCAGTGTAGTATAATGGTAAGAAGGTTTTGGACTAGGATCTGGGAGGCCCAGGTTCAAATACCTGCTTTGTCGTGGAAGCTCACTGAGTGACCTTGGGTCACTTACTCATTATAAATGTTGCAGCATGTCTCTTTAAAAAATATCTACATTGTTCAGCTATGGGGGCTTATGATAGCTGTTAAGTATATTTACCAAAAAACATATTCCACCAGAGGACGAACGATACAAAGGAATAAAAGAAAGCTAAGAAATATGGGCAGGAAACAGCAAAATTAGAATCAGCTTGGAAAAATTGGAGCTAATGCGTCTAAAGGGAAAACTAATCAGAAACACAGGAAATGCAGAAAGAAATCCATATAAGATAAAGAACAATAATTAATAGGATTTCCCATCAGTTGTAAAGGAATGCAATAGCAATAGTGTTTGGGGATTTTCAGTTCACATTTCAAGATTAATAAACATTTCCCCTTCCCTGCTATTCCTGACTAAAAAGTTGGGGGGGGGACACAAGTTGAGAAAAATCTTCAAAATATCAATTCTGGAATAGTGCCACAAAGGTAAATGGAATTGCAACTAAGGAGTGGCCTGATTGGCCTTTGTGTTAGAGAATGAACTTGATATTTTGCTTTTTGGACTATATTAATTGCTACACACACAATGGACTGTGCACACACACACACATAGACTCAGAGAACTGTACACTTTAAGTCACCTGTTGTGATGTAACACATAGAAGGTGCCTGCACAAGCCTTACACGTGTAAATAGGGTTTCAGCTATACAGTTACCAGCCTGGTGAAGAAGCACACACCTCCATTATTGTGAGCAGTAAGAAACAACAACTTGATCAGAGACAGCTCCCATTGCAGAATTATTTGTGGACAATTCACTGCTTTGTTTCTGCTTTGGTATTTCCTGCCAAATGGACATTTGGTTCACAATGAGAATGGCCAGCTTCATCAACACTACAATGAAGCATCCTGACTCCAAGGTTTTCACACTGGCCCAGATGCCATCCTTTGAGTAAGGTTTTAGATTTCAATATTGACCACTTTTAATTACATAGATTTCATGGACAGAATGGAGCACGTGCAGAGGAGAACAACAAGGATGATCAGGGGCCTGGAGACCAAGCTGTATGAGGAAAGTCTGAGGGACCTGGGAATGTTTAGTCTGGATAAGAGGAGGCTGAGGGAGGACATGATTGCTCTCTTTAAGGATTTGAAGGGCTGCCACTTAGAGGAGGGCAGGGAGCTGTTCCTGTTGGCAGCAGAGGATACGACTCGCAGTAATGGGCTTAAATTAAGGGTGGCAAGGTACCAGCTGGATATTAGGAAAAACTTTTTACAGTAAGAGTTGCGCAACAGTGGAATCAGCTGCCTAGGGAGGTGGTGAGCTCCCCCTCACTGGCAGTCTTTAAGCAGCGGCTGGACAAACACTTGTCAGGGATGCTCTAGGCTGATCCTCCATTTATTTTATTTATTTATTTTGGATTTATATCCCGCCCTCCCCTTGATGGGCTCAGGGCGGCTTCGAACAATAAAATACAATACAATTAAAACAATTTAAAACACAGTTTATATTTTAAAATACAATACAGCATCACATAATACAACTCTAATAAGAACCAGATGTCTCAGTTGTTAATGATGTTGAATTTAAGTTCTTGCTTGGAGATCCTCAAAATTTAGGATCTCAAAGGACCCAGGCTACTGATGGAGGAACCCAAGGAGAGGGACACCCGCTGCCTCAACCAAAGGCCCGGCGGAAGAGCTCCGTCTTGCAGGCCCTGCAGAATTGTAGTAAATCCCACAGGGCCCTGATCTCACGCAGGAGCTCATTCCACCAGGCAGGTCGGATGTCCCTGGGGCTGGGTACCACCAAAAGATGTTGGTTGGTGGACCTCATTGAGCAGGAGGTTTGGACTAGATGGCCTGTATGGCCCCTTCCAGCTCTCTGATTCTATGTGATGTTAATGTGGACAGACAGGATATGAGTCTGGAGTGCTGCACCTCTAGGGATTCTCCTAATTCCTCTGCTACAAGTGATGTTCTGTTTTATGTACAGCTCAAGAGGTCGCAGGCAGCTCTTACCTGTGAATCAACCTGGGGTCTGTCGCTACGGTTCTAAGCTTGACTGCTGCTATGGCTGGAAAAGGAGTAGCCAAGGACATTGTGAAGGTAACAGTAATAAAACTGTTGTTCCTCTTTTCCTAGAAATATATGCTTACTTTTGATTTGGGGGGGGGAAATAACTGTCTGATGGGCTTGCCAGAGGTTAAAATAAAAAGACGTATAGAAATTAGATCCATATAGTAGCGTTTGATATAAGGAAACAGGTTTTAGGTAGAAAAATGGCTCGACTGGAGCAACCAGGATTAATGGCTCGACTGGAGAACCTCTCAAAAATGCTATGCTCTGCCAAAGATAAACTTACCCCACCTCAGGTCAGCAGACCAGTCCCATCTAGGACCTAGTCTTTCCAACCAGCATCTCTTCCATTGTGCATGGATTCAGTTTTAAACTTGTTTCCTGACCACAGCTTCAAGATACTGGTCCAGGATATCCACAATAGCTTCCTGAAGCTTTCACAAAGAAATATGGAGCTGGGTGGCAACTGTGTACTAAAGATATGGTTGATATTACATAAATATTGAATTACATGAGTCAACAATCAAACTGCTTGATAATTTCCATACTGTTTCTAAGGAAACTGTGTCCAAAAAAAGAATGAAACTATCTGTGGCCCCGGTCACACGGGCCGGATAATCCGCAGGGGAACGGAGGCTTTTAGCTGCGGAGAAAAAAGAAGTGCGGTAGCGCGATCTCACGTTTCCCCGCAGCTCCGTCCTCCGGCCATCAGCAGCCAATCAGACCAGCGAGGCAACACAGCAGGAAAACAGCAGGACCACGTTTGTGTGCATGCGCCTGACGTGGATGGCTGCTGGATGCGACGGGCTACCAGCGCGTCTCCAATCAGACGCCTGCCTGTGCTGCGCATTTACCAGAAGATAGTGCATCAAAGCAGGTAGTTTTTTTTAAAAAAAAAAAAAATTTTAAAGCAGGTAGTTTTTAACTCCAGGTTTTCCATGGGATGCCATGGGTTGGCCGCGGGTGCGCTCCACTTGCCAGATGTGGTGATGTGATCGCACCCGAATAATCCGCCCACCACCTTTGGCTCTTCCGCAGTTACTTCCACGTGTGAACGGGGCCTGAGAACAATTAATCAGAGCTACTTAAAGCTGTTTTAATCCCATATACTGGTCTGAAGCCTGATTGAAAATAGTCAAGGGCAGATGTGTCATCCAGGTAAGGCTGAAGTTCCTTGCAATAGCCAACTTTCTCAAGAAAGGAAGTTGGAAATGGCCCATATTATTTTTTAGACTTTTTAAAGAAAGAGTTCTGATACTACCTTTAGCCAGAATTGTTCACTTATTTGGTTAAGATAATAGTTGCATAACTCCCACAACCAAATAAATTTTAACAATTTTGGCTAGAGGTACTTTTCTTGTCTTTTTATTTGCAAGATACATTTCACTGAGAGGAACAGTTCCCAGGGTGGCCTTCAGTTTATTAGTCAGGGAGTTAAAAGTGAAGCTCTCTGTAGAACGCTGACAAAGTATGCTTCTGAAACCCCAAACATAGGAACTCCCCGAACTGGCTTTCTGGTCAAATACAAAAAAGAGAGTTTATCAGAAAAGAATTTACCAAAATCATCACAGCTACGGTAATTGATAACCTTGACTCCTCAAGTGGTCTGGATATTGGTGTCAACAGTTCACGGAACACCTTAAACAACTGAGCTGGATGAAATTCTGCCAATGCAGTAGTAGTGGAGAAAAAGGGATGTTGCCACCCCTGCCACCTAATAATCCTGTAACTGGCGTCTGTAGTGTGCTGTGTCGCATTCAGCATGAGCCTTTCACCACCAATGTTATGGCCATTTCCATTCTCTTTTTTCAATCCATTGATTTCCTTATAAACCATGAGCCAGGGGTCTCTTGGTAGGAAGAAGAGGACACCAGGGAGGAATCCTATCTGTTGCCCTTTAGCTTGAGGATTCCATAAACCAGTTGGATCCCTTAGCCCCCGTAAGTGGACCATCCTAATTGATGTATTTATGCTGAAGAGGAAGGGGGCATAACAACAGTCCAATAGGTAAAGATCTGAAAGTGATGGCGGGGTGGTGGTGCTGTGGAGAGAGTTAAATCTCTTAACCAGATCACCATAAATCTGCTCAGTGCAAAAAAGTAAGTCCAGTCCATTGAGCTTTTCAGGTGTTGGACCCAGTGCAACCTGGGATGGTCCCATGGTTGCCATGACAGTCAAAGTCATCAGCTTAGCTCAGTGTGGATACTGAAGTCCCCCAAAACTGTCATTCTAAAAGTCTGCAACACCAGTTAGCCAGACCACACACTTGGTGGAGAGTAAACCGGAAAGAACCCTAACTTTTCCCTGGTATCCATACACTCAGAACTGATCATCATTTCCATCAGGAATCTGTTTGCTTTCTTAATTTCTTTAAAGATAGCATGTGAGTTTAAATCTTTATGTGTTTCTACATCATGCTGAATTCTCTGATTATATAAAGCATATACGTGACTGGGCCTATGTTCAGTGGCTTGCCTTTCTTCAGTTACCAGCTCTATATGTAAGAAAATGCTCTTCTGCTTTTGAATTGTGGCATGGTGGAGGTATGCATTCTGCTGTGTTGGGGGGCCTGACGACATGTGTGGATACTGTTATTCATGGATAGGAAACTTACAAACACATGCTGTTATGTAGTTGATGAGCAGAGTGGTCTCTGGGCTACACTCCCGGGTAGGATTTTTACCCCCCCCCCCAAGGGCTGGGAACTGTAGCTTAAAGTCACTGGGGGTTTCTTGCCTCCCTTTCTCACTTAATATTGATCCAAAACTGCAGGGGTATAAATTGAGAAGACGCAGGAACAATGCAACCTATAAGCAAACCAGGCAGAGAGATTTATAGCCAGGTGCTTTTGATTAAATGGCATATGTTGTCCTCAGCTATGCATGTTACTAGAGGTCTGGTAGTCTAATGTAATGCATGAGGATTACCTGCACTGCTGATCAGTTTTCAGGCCTCTGGGAAATTGGATTAATGATGGTCCTATGGTTATTTAATAGCTTCTAATCTTTTAATAAAGATAGTGTAAACACTAGGGAGAAGTTTGAAATCTTTCTCCAGATGGATTCTGGTAAGGCTGAGTGAACTCATAAAGTCTTGACTTTAGGAGTTGTCTTACTTCTTAGACATTACATCTGCTGTCCTGGTGAATTTTGCTTTGGGTGTCTGGTGTCAGGAACAAGAGTTCATGTCATAATTGATATGATCACCAGATTGTTGTCCAGTGGGGATAGCTGCCAAAAGAACCTTTTCTCCTTGGACCTATATTAATGTACATTTCAGATAACAGTGGCAGTTGAAAGCATCCCCATCTGTGGAATGGAGAAGTTCCATTTTAATAATGGTGTGTGTGTGTGTGCTGTTTGTGTAACCCTAGTTCAGCTCAAGTCTATGCTGGGGTAAAAGTGATAATATGTAAAAGTTCCTTAAAGAAACAATGGGAGATTTTCCTTGCTTTTATTTTGCAAACTCAATAGAACTACCTTCAACCAGTATCCAGCTTTCAAAGCTGTTTAAATTTTTTCTTGGCAGATTTTCTGGTTTGAATCAGGTATGATGTGTGTTGAGCATCTACGCTGACATGCAGGCATTCTTTGCTGTATTGTTTTCTCTTTATTACACTGCTCCTTTCATAGTAAGCAACTTTTGATCAGGATTCCTTGCTGTGTGAAATATCATTAAATAATTTGGAGCCAAAGATAGTTTAAATCCACCAGATGTTGACGTTTAATATCTTTCAGAAGAGCATTACAGGAAACGACTGGATTTGGTTGTGTTAAGTTTCGAAAGGTCTGAACAATGGCCAAGGCCCCCTCCAATTTTGTACTGAAACAAACTAAGTTTTATAACAAGGAAGCTCTTATGCTAGGAAAGGGAATACAGAATCTGTGATCAAAATATTTACTGGGGAAGTGGCATTCAGACTTAAGCAATTAAGAAAAGGGCAAGAGGAGTGACAATGGCAGGCAAAGAATGACATGGCAGATATAGAGGCCGAGTTTAGACTGGCAGTTTCCCCCGATATACGTGCTTTTCAGAAACGTTCCACAACCAGATTAAAGGGGCCGTTCACACAGGCACATCTGTCAGGCATTCCCCACCGGTACTCAACCCGGTAACGCTTCACTCCCGAGTATAAAAGATACCTGGTGAAAGTGGTAGCAAACCCTGGAAAGCGTGATTATCCTGTGTCCATCCCGCACCAACAAAGTGTGAACATCAAAAGCCGCATTTTTCTTATGTACTTATGCGCTCATGCGCTTACAGCCGTGCCTCTGGGCCAACAGTGTGAATGCTCCCTTGTGCCTCCTCCCGGTATGCTCCCGCATCAGTTGCTGCAGTGTGAACGGGAAAATCTGGAACAATTTGTTCCGGGTATTTTTTGCCATGACTCCCTCCCTCTTCAAACTGCCCATCACTCAACCATAGACTTGGCAAGCATGCCATCCGGCCAAAACATTTAACCCAAGTTCATCCTGCACAGCATAATCTCTCATGGGTGCTTCTGTTCACTGGACCCTTCTGGCCACCCTCTTGGGCTGGTGGGAGAAACAGTGGGGATGGAGCTGGTGCCAGGCTACGTGCTAACAGCTTATCCAGGCAAAAAACTGGATGTGATATCAGTCAACACTCTGGAAATATGTATTACCTATGATAATATTACCTGTGGTAATACATGGGTTGATATCCAGGTAGGGTTGCCAGCTCTGGGTTAGGAAATACCTGAAAAATGTGGGCGTAGAGCCTAGGGAGTTTGGGGAGGGGAGGGACCTCAACAGGATATAAGGCCATAGAATTCATCCTCCAAAGCTGCCATTTTCTCCAGAGGCACTAAACTTGGTCACCTGGAGATCACCTGTAACAGTGGGAGCTCTCCAGGTGTCACCTGGTGGTTGGCAACTCTATGTCCAGGTTGCTGCTCCTCCAACATTCCTGGAGTAACAGCCAGTTTGGTGTAGTGGTTAAGAGTACAGACTCTAATCTGGGAGAACTGGGTTTGATTCCCCACTCCTCCATGCAGCTGCTGGTGTGAC